CCCTTCCCGCCTTTTCAACCCACCTCCTATGCCCCAGTACAGCTACCGTCCTGTCCTCTTTGTTCCATGTCTCAAACATCTCCCTGAACGTCCTATCTATTTTTCCCAGCTCAGTCACGTACACTTCCCTCTCCTTCTTGTACCACGGACATTCCGCGACTACATGAAAACGGTCTTCGCATTCGAAGCCGCAATCACATTTGGAACTGTCGTCTTCGTCGTCTACCGTCCTATGTCTTCGTCGACACTCTCGAAGGCCAATGTTCCCGGTCCTGAATTTGACCTTAAGTTTTGTTCCTGCATCCATTGGTCCATATAGGTAATCCTTGAACACTGGTCCTTCCTTCAACATGCCATACACTTCTAGACCCTCCTTATCCAACAGATCGTTGATGAACACCTGGAACAATATTGGGGACAGCGTGCAACCTTGTGGGACCCCCTGCTCAATGTCGAAGAATTTAGACAGTTCTCCGTCCAACACCGGGGGGCGGCGGCTTGTTTTACAACGTCGTTGCCAAGCGACGAAAACCCAACCCCGATGGCAAACAGCGGGGGGGGGTGGAGGGAGGGTGGGGGGGTAGATGGAAGCCAGTCAGGACGTGGTAACCATGACTCACCTTACTACACCGCTTTTTATGGCTGAGAATGTTGCAAAAAACGCTGCAAACGTTTTCTGCAACTTTGCTCTAACCTTGTCAGGAACACTGTTGGTGCACGCTCATTATGGGACGAAGAAAGTTTTGTGCACGGGACTGGCGAATGCGGAGGCGTGATCTTTTTCTTATAGCATCTGCGAGAAGAAGGCACACACGCCACTCATACCGCACCGCAAAAACACCGGTCAGAGCGTGCGGGAGAGGGTAGCCTTTTTTCTCCACACTCACGATACCCCACGGCATCTAACCTGGTACCAGAAAGATGTTGGGTATAGCAAGCTCTCTCGGGTGGCATTGCTGTTGCTGTTGCCTCCTCCTTCGGAAAGTTATCGGTGGATAACCAAACCGGTGGCAGTCAAAAACACCGAACTTGAACTAACCGCTGGAGGCCGTTGACGGTTGTGCACAGCAAAAACTTTTTTTCCCGGCGCATTCGGCACTTCACGGCCCCAAATCTTGGCATTGCCAAACAGCCAATGGCATCACCTCCTTTCACATACCATTCATGAGGGAACTCGTTGAGGCCGCGGTGGGAATCGCAGTTTTCTTCTGACAAATACGGCTACTTTCGACGAAAACAATTCGGACGGTTTCAAAAAGAGAACTACGTAACGGGACAGTGAAATGTGGTCCAACAAGAGTGGCGGAAACAGGCCGAATCGCACAAATTTCAGCGTGATCACAGCTGGGCTGCTGAGGGCCCGTGGCACCGTCTGCTCCAGCGTCATCATGGCGGACCCTACAAACACTCATGCCAATCCACCAATAGACACGTTCCAGCATGTTAGGCGTGCGAGCCGCACCGAGGTGACAGGACGCATCAGCGTGGCAGACTTGCATGATCCACGGACGCATGAGCATGGGAACATATATCCGAATGAGTTCATCGTTAAGAAGGCGAGCAGCACGTCCGCTAGGACGCGTGGTCGTGGACGACGGGGTCGCTGTTTGCTTGCGAACAAGCAAGACCAAACCATCATCGTCAACATGCAACCGGCCTTTGTTAGACAGATCGCGAATCTCCGAAAGAGAGGGTCGACGAGCGGACGGAACACGGTCCAAGAACCAAGAAACCCGAAGGGAGGACCGAAGGCCGACACAGAAGGATGAAGCGAATGGCTGCATCACACACAGGTTCGTTACGTTGCTCGCGAGCCCAATCAGCATGCGAGAAACGTTCGACGGACGCCCGGAAGGCTAGATCCGCCGAAGAATGCAAAGCCGCCTCGGAAGAAGGGTGGGCTGATTCGCGAGGCGCCGACTGCAACCCATCCGAGGATAAAGCAGCAATGGAAGCCAATGGCGAAATCGCGCGAGCGGTTGACACAAAACGCGACAAAGACTCCGAAGAGCCGGAGGCTGCAGAAGGCTGCAAAGCAGGAACAACCGCAGTTGTGGTAGGCGTCGGAGACGCAGTCCCCACTCCATGAGCCAGAGGCGCGGAGGGAGTCAAGGAAAAAACGCCAGCACCAATAGTCGAAACACAACTGGGCAAGGCTGGTGTCATCGACGGCGACGAAGGCGCCGTCGGAGACCGCCGAAACGGTCGAGAGGGAGCGGAAATCTGCGTGGGAGACAAGGACGGCTCATCGTCAGAAAAACCATAATCAACTGGCGGGAGTGGCGTGCCTGCCACAGCTGCCTTGCGACGACGGGTCCTGGTGGAGATCACTTGGGTGGGGCCGAGGCGCCGACGCGGGTTTCCAAGGGCCGGAACGGCAGACGGAGGCTCGGGCTCGAGAGCCAAAACATAATCGAAAGACTGAGGTAGGGAACCGGACCACACACTAGGAGGTCGATTGCGCAATCGCGACCGAGCCGAACGGCGGAACATCTCGGGCGGCAAGGGAGCGACCTTGGGCGACAAGGAAGCGACGTTCCAAACGCCCGATGAAGACGAGAGGCCTGATGGCGGTAGACGCGGACCCTGCCGACGGAAATCAGCGAAGTCAGCTGTACAGGGGGCAAGCCCACTCAAGACCGAGGTCGGGGTATTAGGAACTAGCCCACCCAAGCCAATACCCGCGGCCCGATCACCGGAAGGGGTAAGGCCACACGAACGGATGAAAAACACCGCCTCCTCATCCTCAGCTGGGATCAGACGGCTGCGACCTGAACGGTCGCATTCAGCCGCAGCGACCGGGAGGCGTGAGAGGAAATCAGCGTTGGCATTTGCGGAACCCTTGCGATACTCGAGGGTGTGATTGTAGGCGGTAAGAAATTCCAGCCAAC